ATAGATCATTGATTTTTGAATGATTAAAGTTAATTTTTTGTAAAGAAAAAATTGAGTTTTATTTTAATTACTTTACTTTACTTGAAATTACTTTTTTGCCAACCCAAGTATTATATTTATTAATTGGGTCATTGTTTAAATACATTTTTTAATAGCTCTTGAGACCTGCTATCACTCCTATAAATACTTGCGGGACATCCTGTATAATTTTGGTTTGTCAAGCTCAAATTATATTTGTAATTTTTCTATTTATTTTCTATGGAATTCCATTTACTTTATTTACAGTTCTGTTTATATTCTAATAATGTAAAAGTAAACATTATCGTTTACAACAATTATAATTTATCAACTTTCCGTCACTATCCATTACCTGCTACCACTTTAAGTAACAGATTAGGTCTCTAACTATATGAATTACAGGCGGGTCTACGGGAAAAAGAGGGGGAGCTTTCGAGCTGAAATTCCCTCCCCTCCTCAAAATGGTAAAATGTAATCATTTAAATTATCTCTTAAAGTATTATTGCTCGTGTAATTACATTAATAGGACTGCAATAATCACTTAAACACTAATTCATATAGGTAGTCAATACCTTTCTTTTTTTTTAAAGTAATTATCGTTATATATATGAATTTTCTAATTTAAAAGCAGTCGAGATGAATCTTGGGTCCGTTAGTGGTATGAATACAATATGATACGGGTCCCAGCATTTACGAAGTTTTAAACAGATGTTCATGATTTGATAAACACAGGTCTGTACCGCGGTCTATTGTTAAAGTCAGTCTGTCCCGTACTTATAAAATAAAATTTGAAATGATATAAAAATTATCGATGAAGTTTTATCAGAGAGTTATAAACGGAAAATCATATCTTTGCAACGAATTCAGTAACATAATAGTCGAGAAATAGTTATACCATTACTGTTTCTACTCTGGACAATATCTATCTTTGAGAGTACACTGAGATAGTGAGACTGTATTTACATTGAAGACCGTTTAACTAAATTTATACAGGAGGGAAGGAGGGCAGAAGATGGAGTGTCCGCGGAGTACATTAATTTACAATGCTATGACTAAATTAGCAGTACTCAAGAGAGATAGGGAGTGAGCGAGAGAGAGATGGGGAGTGAGTGAGAGAGAGATGGGGAGTGAGTGAGAGAGAGTTGGGGAGGGGGTAGCGGTTACGTTTGGTTTGGCAACTGTCTTCTCTCTTTCATGAATAATCAAATTATTTACTGAAAGTCCTCTTAGAGCGAACTTATGTTCAGGTTTTGGGGCTCGGGAGCTTACTGCAGACTATTAGGATGTGGAAGAAATAATACATATTTCTTACTTACTATCGAAAGTAGGGCAGCTTTGTATTTGTGCAGGAGCTTAAAATAATTCTAAAAAAATTTATTTATGTAATTTGAAATAAAAATATATTCAGTCAATGTGAACAGAAGAAAATAATAACATGAAACCAATTGTTGAGAAGTGATTAAAAATATATTTACAATAGGAGATCTCGAGGCCACCTTTTTTTTAAAAACTCCTCAGAGGCTTATCAGAGATCGAAGAGGAAGCAAAGTTAGAAACGAGAGGGTTCGGATGGTTCTGAAGTTTTTTATAGAAGAAGAGGTATCTAGATTGGGTCAAATCAGTAACATAAGGAACATTAAGGTCGTTAAGTATGATTTTATTTTATGACAAAGTAAGGAGCGTTGAGGATTTTACGAAGTTTTTTGGATTGTAAGGATTGGAAACGAGAGGAATTCGATGGTTCAGTGGAGCCCCAAAGCTCGATCCCGTAAGTCCAAATAGGCCTTATTATAGTACTATATAATATGGAGTTTAGAGCGTTTGTCTAGTAAGTGCTGCAGTAGTCGAAAACGTCGGGCGGCTTCTTATCGTTTCAGTCGATGATTATAAGTGAAAAACTTGATATTCACGTCAATTCGTATATAAATATAAATATAAACAATTGAAATTGTACTTTCGTTTGAAGTAAATTTTGTCTGGTTTACTGTAAATCTATGCCTAATTATTAAAATTAAGTATTTTTTTAGTTATCGCTTCGTATTCAACAAGAAACGCGACTCACGTAAAAAAACTTGAATTCCCTACTTTCCTGCTCAAAATTGGACCATTGTTAGTTAATATGAATTTTTTTGTAGTCCTTGAGGTCTATCACTACCCCTGGTAGAAGGAAATATAGACATATAGTATAATATGTCTATATTTCCTTCTACTTACGAAACACCCTGTATATTGCAGAGAATTCTCATAATATTTTATTTTTCGTTGTATTTATAATGAATATTTAAGTAATTTTTCTAAGTGTTTTTATTTTTATTTAATAATATTAATGAGTACTTTTTTTATTTATTGGATACGAGATGAATTTGATGGTTCGGTAGAGCGCCATTGCTCAACTCCATAATTCCAAATAGGTCTTATTCTAGTTATGTATATAAGTCTTTTGTTTGTTTGTTGGAGTTTTAAGGCCTAAAACATCAGGATTCTCAACGCCTGTAAATTAATTTTTTTTTTTTAATAATTTTTAAACTATTTCAAATTTTATTTAACAAATTGTTTGATTTTATAAGTCTAACACTGATCATATAGTGTCTTCGTTATCACTTAAAATATCTAAAATTGGAGATGTGTGTCCTAGACTATTTAGATTTGATATGTACAAAGAACATTCCTGTGACATATGGCTGACTGTAAGTGTATTATTGCAGTGTTGGCATTGTGGTGGTGGCTGCTTGCTAATGTGAATGGGTATGATCTTTGTTGCCTATTCTCAGTCTGGTTAAGACAACCTTTTCTCTGCGGATATAACGATTTGAAGTTGACCATGGATTTACAGTTTTTTTTTTTTTTTAGTATTTTTTAATTTGCTTGGCGGACTCTCCATAGATTGCCAGCTATGAGTTATTTCTTTTTTGGAGAGAAGACATATATAGCGGCGTTAGAATGGCAGCAACCCGGCCCGGAACGGTATGTGATGAGTATTTTTTAATTAACAGGAAGCATAGAGCGTTTGTCTAGTAAGTGCTGGAGTAGTGAAGACGTCGAGAGGTTTCTTGTCTTTTCAGTCTGGTATGAGGATTCCAAGTTGTCCATGGAGGTTTGTCCAAGTGGAGTCTAAGGTATCACATTTGTTCAAAAGAGATAAGTGGGGTATTATTAAAGGATACTGTAGGACAAGAGGTCATAGGTTTACGACGAAGGGTAAAGGTTTATTAGAATTTATTTTAATCCTCCATTTTGACACCATTCTTCAAGGTTTGTGATATGTGAATGAATAGTTTAGAATGCAATCGTTGTGTTATTATTAAGTGACAGGACACATGTGTTTAAATGTTTAAAAAAAAGTTCTCAGTATTTCCAAAATTTTACGTTTCAGACATTAAGGATAAATTTCGGTTCGGTATCTATAGTCAAATCATCTGTAGTTAGGTCGAAAGAGTCTTAAACTTAAACTTAACAAACCTATTAATAAAAAGTTTGCGTAATAAAAGTTATTCTTTTAACTTTACGATAAAACTTTTTCTTTACGATAAAACTACTAGAACCAAATTTAAAGTAGGAGTTCAACAACAACTTTTTTGCTCTCGGTTGGGATAATTTATGGTAGAAAACGAGTGAGTGAATGTTAACACATACTGGCGTTTATTTTGATAATAGGATTTTTCAGAGGGATATTGTTCCTATCCTATCATTTCATTATTCTTAAAGCGGAACAAATTCAATCACTATCAACGCTTTTCAGAACCCTTTGTTTTATTTCTAGCTATTTCTTTTGTGTAAACGATTATGGTGAAGCATAAAAAAGACTGGGGTACTGCTTGCCCTCATACCTCTCTATATTTTTATAATGAACATCTAATTCACTGATTGCTATTACTATTATGACAGATGTGAATAAAAAAAATACAGGTTGAAAAATATTCACGCTCGGAAAAAGTACATTTGAAATGGAAAAAATTACATTTGATTTGTTAAGTTTAAAATTTGAAATTGAAACGGTTACGATAAACTTGAAAATGCTTTAATAACGAGCCATCCATGAAATTAAAACATACCATGTAATTAAGTAATGTAGAGACACTGTTATGAAAGCAAGCAGTATAACCCTACAGGAACCTACCTTGTTTCCACTAATTTAAGTTAGTAGGATAAGACACTTAACCTATTCAGGTACGTTTAGACATTTCACAAACTATGGGAAACACAAATATCCAAATCGGTTGTTTGTCTAATCTATTTTTTGTGTCTTGTTTAAGTCAGTTATATCTGATGTCTGTTGTGTTTAGTAATTTCTTCAGTTTATTTTATTATTGATTGGTTTATAAAATATTTGTTTATATTAATTTCCAAATCCTAAGGCAAGATTACAAAATAGGTAGATGTAAATAATTGAAAATTAATCTGTTATAGATTATTTTGTGAATTTTTATCCAGTGATGTAACCTAACTGTGCAGAACTACCAGTTTTTTTTTCGAGGTATATTTTTTTGAGCTGAGTAAAAATATATTGATTTATTTTAATTTAAAAATATATGACGTTTTTAATGAGTGAGAATTGTCTATAGGTAACATAAAAAATAATAATAAAGACCGGGAGAAAATTAACTAAAAAAAAACTGAACGATTTCCATTAATGATTTTTTTTTTTACATATTTCTAATTAAAACTATATCTTTAAAAAAGAACAAAATACCTGTACCACTAACAAACAATAAGGGTCCTGGATTCAGTACAATGTGAGGAAGTAGTGTTACAAAGGTTGTGCATGGAGTTGATTGGGCCCATATCACGCTTATTAATTATTTAATTAAGAGAGATATTGTTAAACGTTGTTATCATTTCCTGTTTTTTTAATTCTCTCTTTTAGTACATTATATTAGCAATTTTTATAGCTACTGATAAAAAAAAAAAAATATATATATATATATATACGTACATAATAAAATTTATGATGAGGAAATATTAAAAATAAATAAGGATATGAGTATAGAGCAAAAAATATATGGACATTTAATACAGAAAAAAAACTGGTTTTGAAGATTAATAATGCTTGACGTAACTGAGAATGCGTTCGTTGACCAAGGGTTCGCGGAAGGTGACCTTCTTGTTCTGCTTGAGCGGCGCCTGGCTGTCGTTGGACTGGCAAGTTTCGTCAGAATTCACGTCCTCTTCCGAGGAAGGGTCCGTGCATTCGGCCAGGAGCTCTTCGTTGATCGCCACCAAGACCATCCTCATCTGCATCAGCTCCGTTTTCTGCTTCTTCAGTTCTTCCATCAGGGCTTTCTTCCTGCCTCCAAAGAAGTTGCATATCCTAGAGCATGGCAGATCCCCTTCTTTGTCTATCGTAGCGGGCAGATTGAAGGGATCTCGAGCAGGAAAGCTCGTTGCCAGCGAAACTATTGGATATACTCTACCTGGAGCGTATCCCCGCCCGAACCCGAAGTTGCCGTTAGGAAACTGACCCCAGCCTAGTCCTCTCTTCGCAGGCCTATCGATTTTTTGCCTTCCGGATGATTTCCTCTTCTTTTCTGCCGGTTTATCCAACATTTCCTGGCAGGTTTCACACTTAAGCACTAGTGTTTCCGAATTCATTTCTTTAGTCTCAGTTGGCTGTTTCGTTAGCAAATGGCAAGAGTTCTCCTTGTCCACTCGTTGTACCTCATTTTCAGTTTTTGTACCACACGATTTCACGGGTATGAGCTCCGTGCAAGATGTACTGTTCGTACAACAGAATGTCTGGGTGGCTACCTCCGGTGCTTTCGGTTCTTCGGAAAGAATCTTCTTTTTTTTCTTGGGCTTCGTCTGAGTCACCTTGGGCAGCTTGAACACTTCAGAAGTGTTGATCTCCGTCGCCTTCAGGAGAGGACCTACAGTCTGCGTCGTCTTCAGCCTCTCTTTTTCGAATGGTGAAATACCCGCCATCGAAACAATGCCATAACTGAGTTTCTGGTTTTCCGTACGTGGATAGGTGAATTTTTTAAAATCTTCGCTGCCATTTTCTGCAGACCGTTCTTCGCTTGACGAAACAGACATAGATGAGATAGTTACTGTGCTGTGTGAACTAGATTTGACCGGATTAGAATTAGTGGAACTGGATGAGGTGGTTGTGAAACAGCTTGTAGTTGCGATTGAATTGGAACTGGGTTTCTTTGGTGTTATTCGCCTGAAAAAAAACGGTCCTCCGACTGGTTTGAGTTCACAAATTACAGGCCGCTTCATATCAGCTGGCATATTAGGATATAGTGGAATTAAATTTGTTACCATACCTCTTAGTGTTGGCGGCGCCATCTGCCCTCCGCGATTCACCATTCGGTTCTCAGACTCTGTGACGGCACTGATTTCTGAGGTCTCACTTAGACTCTTCGAATGTGAATGGCGATGGATGCTTTGCGTCCTACTGCACTGTTCGATGGAGGCGTTTATACTAGAACAATTCTTGTCGATTGTCTGAGTTTTTGTATCCTGCACGTCAGCTTTTTCAGGATTCCTTTCCAGTGTCTGCGTGTAAGCATCGAGCGATGGTCCGTCAAGCTTCATCCCGGGGCACTTATTCTTCATACTGAAGACATCGCGAGAAACCTTTTCTAACCTCTTTTGTAAAGTATTCAAACTAACCTGATTAGGCTTGTTTACTGCTTTGATGTCTCGTAGAATATTAAAATCCTTAGGTTTGCCTTTTTCTTTCGTTTTTTCTTCTTCCGGTTTCATCGAATCGTTAGAAATCATGGCTTGAAGCTTTCCAATATCTTGCTTAGGCGTATTTACTTTTCTTTTGAATATTTTTTTTGCATTTTTCCAGAAGGTCTTTATACGGTGACGTGGTTTGTTCTGGAGATTTCTGGAGGAACGGTCTCGGGACCTAGTGGATTCCTGGGCGATGGTCAAACTCGAACAGTGGGGCTTGCTTCCTTCGCCGACTCTGAGGATCGAGCCGATGACGTCCTTGCTGCTCTGGTCGCTGTGAAGCCTCCGCAGATCGCGGCTGCTGTTTCGCCTCGGTCGGGACAGTATCAACTCGAACTCGCTCTCGCTCTTGTCGCGGCTGATGAGTTCTTCCATGTCATCGCTGTTCAGGGGCGTGTAGTCCTTAGATGAGGAGTCCATAGCTGGGATACTCCCGATCGACTCAATCTCCGGCTGCCGTTCGTCGAAGGGTTCGCTTGTAATTGATACATCGGCTATACCTAGGTTGCGGATGAAGGCTAGCAGCTTCTTGAAGATGTCATCCTGCTCAGTGCTGGAAGTTATGTCGACCGATACGACCGTCTCTAATCCAGGAGAGCTCTCGACGCTGGGGTTCAACTTGAGGGAGTCGAGGTATTGGATGACGAGGTTCTTCTTGGAGCGGTTGACCCGTCCGACGTGTACCTCGGTGACTGTGAGGACGGGGTTGTGGTGGCGCAACCTCGCCACCAGTCGTTCCTCCATCATCCCATCATCGCCAACCTATTTCTTCATAACCTTATCTGATATCGTATATGTCGAATGGGAGGTTACAATTCATTGATAATTTTTCACATATCGATCTTTTGTTAGTTTCGATGTTGAACCTGTTTTAAATTCACATAATATTGCCTTCAGGATTATAACTTTTGATCCTGAGGTCACTGTTATAGACAGTTATTTGTAATGTCAACATCAATTTTGAGGTGTAAATAGGAGTAAAAGATTTTAAATGCCTTGTAGTGGTTATAAGACATTTTATTTTAACCATATGGTTGTTGGAAGTTAATAATTTTTTTTTATTTATGTGAGAATTATTCTATTAGATATATACTTTTATCTTAACAAATTTCAAGATACTAGTTCTCGTTCGTTTCTCCAAGATGGCGGACTCATGCATTCCGATGAGTACCGACTGTAGCCGAGTAGTTTGCTTTCAGCAGCTTGTAGATATTAGATAATATCTACTTAGATATTATCAATGGTAGAATATAGAATATTGGAAAGAAAATATCGATATTTCGATTGTATCTACTACTGACCCATACTATATATCTGTATTTTTATATGTATATTTTGTTTATCACAGTAATTACAATAATGATTTTAGGGATAAAATTTCTATATTTTTCCTTGAGACGTACGTACATTTAGTACCACAAGTTATATTATACTTTAAATATATATAATGTGATGGCTTGAGTGTCTGGTTCTGATTACTCATAGTAACAGAAATGGACCAATAGAACCCGATGCGCGGAGCTCTGAGTTTAGGAACTTGAAACACATGAATACACTATACAGATCGGAGCTTTCTTTGATTTATATATTTTTAAATAAAATAGTTTTATTTCTTCTAACTTTAGGGCAAAAAGGCCGTCGTGAAGGAAAAGTTTTTCGTTGGTGAAATTGGAAACCTCCAATCCGGGGCTCATCGAATATTCATAGCACTGGCGAACAGGTGGATACCACCGAATTCCCTTCGATATTCCATCATGACTAAGGATTTTCGAAGAATAAGCCGTATTTCGAATAGTTTTCAAAGACAAATGAGAACAATCTTTAATACGGAAATTTATATATATCGATGTATCGATTTGTGTTTGTATATTGACACCCTGCCCCTCGAAATCTTCCACGTACGAGTAGTTGTAGCAATTCTTATAAGTCCCGAAGTCACCGAAAATAAACATAGGCTATATTAGTTTTCCGCTGATGCCTGAAATTAACAGAAACAACACTAAAGTATCTGATACTTTCAGTCACCGCAAATGATTATAGAACTGTTACTTTAACTTTCCGTATCTAATATCTTATTTTCTGTATTATGTTAAATGCCTACTGAATTTCACAGCCATTGTATTTTTAATCAATATCATTTATTTGAATAGATAAATGAAAATTAATGAAATATATAGAAATAGAAACGCAGAAAATTACTTCACAATGGTTTATTTTTTCCAAACAGTTATACATCTAAAGTAACAATATCTTCCTAGTGATAAATAAACAGAAATAAAAGGTAATTCCAATTATTGGATTAAACATTATTTTTTTAATCATTATTAATATGCCAAAAGAAATTAGCATTGCTTCAATAACACATTAAACAATTAAAAACAAAAACAAAGGATTTAACATTTGCAGTAGAACATATAATAAACAACTAGTGACCATATCTTTGCTCCTAATTATGCGATTTTAACGATTATTATTTTAATCATAATTATAATCATCGTAAACTTTTAAATAACAATATAATATCCACAAAAAAGTGTATAATTTTTGAATTATGCGTAAGTTTATTTTACCATACCTCGTAACTTTTTATCCAGCTTCTTTTCGTTGATGTATGTTATATAGGTAAATTTAAAGAGCATCGAGAAGAAGACTAGCGAACTTTTATTGATATCGGTACATTTATTTAGGCGCTATAGTCTATAGCAACGCAGGTTTTTCGTTTGCCATCTTGAAAGGAAGAGGTGGATATTAATGCCGATGAAGGAAAATCATCCTCGAGTGACCTCTAATATTAAATCCCAATTTGGAAAAAATTAGTCCAGTAGTTTCGGAAAAATGCATTGACGAGGACGGACAAAAAAATGTTTATTCATTTTTCAAATTCTAGGTATCCTGAAACGTAAAACCTCAAATTTTGAGAGAGGTAAGTTTTTGAATTTTTTGTCCGGACGTAATGGTTAAATATTGATAACAATAAACCAAAATCATCTTTATTCTGGGACTAGGTCCCTTAAGAATAACAAGGCCAAAAGATCTATTACAATAAAGAATACCTAAAATATAAGAAATAAAATAAGTATTTACATGACTTTGAGGATATGTCAACGAAAGCAGACGTACAAATAACTAATGAGATTAGAAAGTATAGCTAAATAAGTTTTATATCCAAACCATTGTAGTGATAAAATATAAAATTTAAAAAAAAATAACTGTATATATAACATAACTTAACTTAATCCGAGAGTAAATAAATGGTATACATCTGTTCTTAAGAAGTTTAAGTGAATAAACATAAAGATAAAGATATAAACATATACGGTATCATTTGTATATAGTCAATACTTACTAATTTCTAACAACTTTGTACCAAACCGAATGAGCCATTGTTAAAATTTAGTATTTGAAAAGTAAAATTAGGGGAAAAAATTTGATAAAATTAATACTGAATCATTTGTTAACAATTTTTTCAACTTAACGAGTTAGCTCAATCAATTTTATTACAATTTATTGTACATAATGATATATGCGCATCCACAAGAGAATGTCGGAGGTGGAATTTCATAAAATGATATATGTGCCAATACTTAAAATTTCATTAAAATTAATGGTTGTATACTAGATTACATGTGGTGGGAAACGGACGAGAGAATGTTTTTCAAACATGTTGCCAGATAGTTTGATAAATAGAAAATTACGAGTTCAAGTCCTTTTGTCGGTGGCTTTTAACTCTGGCATTAATCCACCGCCCTTCCTTCCTGTATCGGGAAGAAACCCGTATAGTTAAGTCGTAAATGCGAGGTATGGGAGGACAAAAATAATAAAGGTAGATGATATCTTGGATGCGTGGAGGCCGATCATACTGATAAGGTAAAGATAAAGAGTTCAAGTCCCGGTGCAAGCGGTATTTAACTCTGCCACTAATACTCCGCTCTCTCAAAAATTTTCGATTCTGAGCACATTTTTTTTTTAACCTCTCCCGCAACCTAGGACTCCATCTAGACAAATCTCTCTTGGAATCCTCATACTATATGGAAACGACAAGAAACCGCTCGGCGTTTCCGTGTACTTCAACAATTACAAAATACCGCTCTAAGCTTTCAATTAGTTACAAAATACTCATATAAATGACTATAATAAGGCCTTTTTGGACTGACGGAGTTGAGCTATGGGATTCCACTAAACCATCGAATTAGTCTCGTATCCAATCCTTACAATCCAAAATCCTTCGTAAAATCCTCAATGCTCCTTACTTTGTCAAAAATAGAATAACTCATAAAGATCTTAATGTTGCATATGTTTCCGATTTGACCCAATCCAGATACCTATCCTCCCATAATAAATTTCAAAACCATCCGAACCCTCTCGTGTTTAGCTTTGGCTTCCCCTTCGTTTCCTGATAATCCTCCTAGGCGTCTGAAAATAAAATGGCCTCATGATCTCGTAATTTAAAAATTTTATTAGAGTACTACCAATAGGTAGTATCTCTGTAAGTGTTTTTATACCATCGTATTTTTCTGTATCACAATTAATAGATGTATATTTGTTTTTATAGAATTGAAAATTTCATGAATGGAATTTAAAAAACCTCCCAAACGAAAACAAAGTTCCTTACACAAACGCAAACAATACATGATGAACATACCTTCCCCTACCCAACCCCTCCGCAGCAGTCATATCCTGGCAGTTACTGCCGACCGCCATCAGCCTATCTGCTAATGCACCTGAGGAGGGTTCGCTGGAGATCGTCCATCATTCTCCTCCCGGCTCTGCTCCCCACTTTCCTAATGTACTCTGTCGTTTAGTTCCCTCTAGCTCTGTCCCGCTCATTTTGCAAACACCTAGAAGGTGCTTTTAGACATTTCACAAACTGTAGGGAACTAAATTATTTAACTTAACTAAGAGCAATAGTATTGCTAAACCAAACTATTTATTTCGTTTCTCACGATACTGACAGCAGATGGAAAATATCCAAAACAAAAACAATATTATAGTTAAATAACCATTTATATATTTGTTTTTCACATAGTTTGTGAAATGTCTAAACGCATGTTAAAATGCAGTAAATATATTTTTAGAGAGTTACCGGTGGGCAGATTTCCACCAACTTTTTTCATATTATTATATTCCTGTATTTACATTTACTGGATATATTTTATTTTTAATACAGTTGTAAATATCATGAATAAATAATTAATTTAGCTAAAATTTCCTAAATAGCAAAATTGTAATGAGATCGCAAAACTAAGGCTGAAATACTAAACTCACCTCCGAAAAAGACTTAACGACAATGTAGCAAAGTACTCACCTGAAACAGAAAAATAATCTTTGGTCATTTAAGAAAGTTGCCAACTTAGGGACTTGGTAGTTAGTCTAGTTTAACAGAAACAATGGCGGTAGAGAACTATATAATGGTGAGTAGAGGGCTTTGTGACTTAAGGCACCAGCACTATTATTGTGCATAGCTTAGCGTTTCTAATTCAGGTTTGGTTATTAACTAAGTAAATTCATTCAGAGCTTATTTAATAAACTATTGATATTTCTCTAAAGTAAATAAACAATTAAGAATATAACTGTATCGCTGGGTTATATGACAATGTATTGCATTTCCTCAAACTTCACGTGTGGTTGTTCAAACAACCTTGAACATAGATAGATATAAAATGAAATTTTATTCTGAAATAAGATTCTCAAGAATGAATATAATTGTAATAAAATATATATATAGACAGAAAAAGCTTAAGTTGAAGAAGAGGAAGAAGGTATAGAACAAACAATGCATTTTTTCTTACGTTTGTTGCAAACTGTAATAAAAAATTCGAGATGCCATTCCTGATTATATTCTTTAATTTAAAACATTATATATTTTACTGAATGAAAAAATAATATATTTAGAATGTTATTGTAATTGCTTATGAAACGATAAAGGAATGGCTAGAGTGTTGTTGGCAGATGTTCGCGGGACATTAAGATACCTCGGCTCTAAGATCTCGGCCCACTGACAATCCGCAATGCGACCGCTAAATGTTCTCTCAAGGAAAGTCTTTCATTTGTATACAAGTATATATAT